CGAGATGTAAAATGGACATTTACCATTCGTAATAATTATTCAATTCCATTTTAAGCAAAATTCTAAAAATTACAGTATGGTAGTAGTTTTTTTTTTTTTTTAAATCCAAGTGGTTAGTGGTTTAATGGTTTTAAGAGTAAAATAATTAAGTCCAAAGTTAATAGTTCAAGTCTATTTGAGATACATTAAATGTGGTATTATCCATAAATCGGAAGATTTTATGGATCAAAGATTCATAAATCCCACGGTTTATCCAAAAAAAATTATGGTAGTTTCTAAAAGTTGGTGGTAACTTTCAAGAAAATGTGATAAAATGTAATGCGTCAACATTTTTCACTGTCCTATAAACATTTCCAAAAATGACAAGTTTATGTGAATTGGAAGTGTGTATGTAAAAAAAACGATGACAATATCATTTAGGTTTTCGAAACGAAGTTATATTATTTAATATTACTTTCTCCGTTTCAAAAAAAAAAAATTGTTGTTTTGATATATTTCTTGCGGATTTTCTTAAAACATAAAATATCCATATTTAATACACAGTAAATTAAATAACAATAGTTCAAATCTAATATTTGTTAGCTTTGAAGTCGAAATAAAATAAGAATTGCATTTGAAAATTCACTTTGAAAGTAAAATGACATTTTGTGAAAAAACTTTAAAACTATATTTTTTTTATGAAATGGAGAAAGTATGTTATAACTTATATAATATGTATTCATACTTTTTATCTTAAAATCAGATAATTTGACTAAGATAGACGAATGTTGAATGTGTTATTGTGTTATCATTTAGCTGAAGCTCCAAACACTTTCCGAAACATTTGTTTTAATATTCCTTCGTAAGCCAAAGGCCCATGAATCAAGCCCATTAGATGCATTTCTTTTAAGGCGACCCATTTAGTTAGAAGCACGTTTAGTGGTCGTTTCTCAAATTCTGATTAAAAACATAATTAAGAACGTGAATTACGTAAAACCAGAGGATCAAAATATTGTAATTGTGTTAAAACAAATTTCTT